AAATTGCATCCATTGCCACCAAAGTCTTTGATATCCTTGTGGCTGAAAAATATTATAATAACAAGGAATAAAAGAAAGATAGGCCATGTTCTGATTTTTGATGTTTGTCAGATTTTGCTTGCCTCAAAATGTTTCAGGAGAATGTGTTTCTGGCATAAAAGCTGCCCTTAACCTCACGGCAGGAGCACTCCAAGATATCTTGGAAATTGAAGGCTACTTTTATTATAAAAAATGGTAAGAATTTATCTGCTTTAAATTTTTCCCCATAATAATCAGGTGTGTGTTTCAGATAATAGCATATTGACTCCTTGATTTTGTTGCTTTAATCTGACTTCTCCATTACCTCTGTGATGAGTAAAAGAGAGAGAGAAAAAGGACTGTTGGTGATGACAACACTGCATGAAAAGATCTAGCAGTTTAGTATTCACTCTATATATCAAATAGCTGACCATAAAACTGCCTGAACTTTGACTTTTCTGTAATTTTCTGGCACACATTTTTTCCTGAAACTAATCCTTAATGAACTGTTCACCCTTCCCTCAATAAAAGCTTCCTTATACCAGTGTAGGTGAGCATCAGAATATAAACCAGATACTGCTTGCAAGTGGATCATGAAAAAAACTGCAAAAAAATTAAAAGGCTGCATGGGTTTTCCCATTTGCTAGTTTGAAATTCACTTAAACCTTGTATTTCAGTGATTTTGTAATTAGGCAAGTTATAGCTATAAACTTAATAATCCCTGAGTGACAGACTGTGGCATATGTTGTTTATGCTTTTCAAAGTAATCTATAGTCTCTGGCTTTCAGGAACTGCTTTAGGTGGTATTTTCAGCTCACAGGAGACAGGCTGTGGAAGAATGCAGGATGTGGGAGCTGCCAGGGTCCAAGACAGCTGTTGGCATACACACCAGTTTTGAAGGGGCAGATTGAACCCCTTGGGGGGAAGATCTGGTGCCACCTCCATGCTTAGCCAAGTGTCTCCCACACATTTCTGGATTAAGTACATCTGTGAGCCTCAAAATGGACATTTCCCCAGTTCAGTGGCCAGAGCCAGAACTGGGTCTGCAGGGAGGGAATTTAGTTTGCTCCAAGGCCTTTCTCTGCACCCCTAAAAGCTATGGTCACAAGTGCTGGACAAGGGCTTTACTCTCTACTCCTCCCTGTTGTACACACAGACTTCATGGGGTACTCCAGGGACTGATGTAAACACCTACAGGGTGCTTACATTGCTTATTTTATTTTGTCCCTCCACCCCTGCCCTAGGAACAGCCCTGACCACCTGCTTCTTTAAACCAGCACATCTGCAGCTCTTTCAAAAGAGACAATTTCAGACTTGTGGGGTCAGATTGTGAAATGTGACTGCTGCTGTGAGCTGCACCCTGAGGAGATGCATGCACATCCCCTCAGACCTAAAATTTTTCTGTGTGCTCTCTTGTGCTGGTTTGGCCTGGATAGAGATAATTCTCTTCACAGTAGCTGTGGTATTTATTTGTGGTGAAAACACTGTTGTTAACACAAGGATGTTTCAGTTATTGCTGAGAGGGCTTGCACTGAGGCAAGGGCTTTCCTGCCTCTCATTCCACCCCAGCAGTGATCAGGCTGGGAGTGCACAAGGACTTGGAAGGGTTTTTTCCATAGTTCTCCTGATTAAATATTCTTGCTGTATTTAAACAAACAAACAAACAAAAACCAAAACCAATCCACCAAAACAAACAAAAAAAGAACCCCAAAAAACAAACAAACAAAAAAGGCATTTTATCCTAAGGTTTACAGAGCTTGACAAAGCCCCTGGTCCACCGCAAGTATTGGGGAAAGTGGGAAAAACAGAAAGTCAAGGTATCTCTCTGTGAATCAGATGCATTGCACAAAAATGACCCCTGTTCAGGCTCAGATTTTACACCTGACCCTCTGGGTCCATAGCTGTGAGTGAAATAGTGCTGTCTATCTCCATCATATTTCAAGGTTCTCTATTATATTTAGCTAGATCTAGGTCACTGCATTATTTTCATTTCAGACACAGGGCAACAGAGTAGTGGAAAGGATTTTTGAATACACAGGGCTGTAGGTTTACTTGAGTGAAGGTCTTTATGACTCTTGGGGGTAAGGGCTTAGTATGTGTTTTTCTGACTTTATAGGGGCTGTGACTTCCATGTCTTAATGTTAACAGCATGGACTTTCACAACTACAGACTGCAGACTAAATTTTAGCAACTGGATTATCCTACTAACCCTTCTCTGTACTTTCTCTTTAGCGAATTGCACTTGCCACTGCAAGCTTTTAAGAAAGTATAAAAATATTTCAATATACTCCAGGTGTTTCTAATGCAATCTCATTTTTCTTTCAGCTGACAGAGAATTAATCCGTCATGAGTTGGAAATGTCTCTTGAAAATAAATGCTTCTTCCCATTACAGCGTGGTCAAATGCCAGCCTGTTCCTTTGAGAATTCTTTTGAAGATTCTAAGCTAGTTAGTCGCTTGATTTTTCTCTCCCCCAAGTTCTTTTGCAGCAGATTAGGTCATTGAAAGCTATGGGAGCTTAGTTATTAGAAAAATAGAGCAAAGTGTCTCATTATTCTGTATTCTCAAGACAGAGCTATTTCTTTAGTCCTGATGCATTTCTGCACACAGTTTAGCAGCCTTTAGTGCCTTTAATGTATCAGACCTGCAAGAAATGGAGGGTGATGGAGGAGGAGATGAATACTGATCAAATTACATCAAAGACCTCTGTGTGTTGTAGTGTCAGTGGTGTGTGCATGTGTCATTGACTTGGGTATTTTCTGATTTATCTGTATCATGTCCCTTGAGGTGTAAAGTTGTAATCTAGACCATATCAGTGAGGTTATGGTATTTTTGCATTTTTTAATGGCTGGAACAGGAGTTCAAGGAGGACTGAACAGTAGCTGCAGTGTGTGATGGAGACAATCCTTTAAACAGTTTTCATATCAGAAGCTTATCAGAAAATTCTGGACCTGGTGACAGTTCATACTCAGTGATCTGTATGACCCTCAAGCTCCACACTGAGTAAGTGCATCTTATTGCAGATTTCCTCAGACCTATTTTTAGGGGGTAGATTTACCAAAAATCTTAAATATGGCAATACTTGGCTTTTGATCTCTCTATGGTCCTTGGCTAAGTTAAGCTTCCAGAGTGTGGAGCTGGTGGAAACATAGGGATCTAGGAGAACATTTATGGAAGTCAGCAGACCTAGTGTGCCTCTAAACTGAATATGCTGAAAAAGAAAAAAAACCCACATCCCAAAACAACTCTCTCCCTCCCTGCTTTTCCACAAATTGCCCACATCGCCCGGCTGAAGGCAGGCACATTCTTCTGCTTGGAGTCTTCAGATGTGAACCTCTTCTGTGTCTCTGAGCAAGATTAATCTCTCCCTCATTCCACAAAAACTGCCAAACATCAAGAGAGGATTTGCATCCAAGTATCAAAACATCTTTGCATGCACAATATTTGGATCTAAAAGGGAGAAAAATAACTGATCCAGCTTTGACATGCAAATGCTGGCTGTCTAGAAAAAGAACCCCAAAACAGCATTGCTATCCAGGATCAAAACTTCTGTGCCCAAATGTCTTCTGTGAGGAGTTTTGCCAGCTGTACAGTACCAGCAATATTAGGGCTCACAAGTCAGCAAGACATAAAGAGCCCCAAGTGAAGAACTTCAGCTGAAATACAAAATAAGGTGCAATGGTCACCTGGGAGTATCTGCCTTGGAGCACTTTCTCACTGGAGGCCATGAGGTTTGTTAGGATAAGATGTGCCTACATGGCTAAATTTGGCATCTCAAGAATAGGGAAATGTTATGATCTGCCATTTAAAGTGGTCCTTGTGCACCAGGGTCCTTTGGGATCTGGTGAGAAGTCTTAATCAACTAAATCTTTTCAACAGCAAGTCTTTTAACTGTACTTCTAAACTGGAGAAACTGTAGGATTGTTCAATGGCCCTGATCTCCTTCAAGGCTCCTTTCTTTAGCCTCATTTCTACTTCACTGCAGTGACACTTCAAATGAGAAAATCTGATCATCCTGTGCTGCTCAGTTTGGTAGTCACAGGTTTTCAAACAACATATTTCTATTATTTGGAGGCCAGGCATTACTGAGCAGAACGGATTTAGCTGCAGTAGCTTTTTCTAAAATAATCCTAATAAATTAGTCTCAGCAGAATTGTACCAGACCTGTGTGCAATCCCATGTGCTGTCCCATGCAATCGCTGTGCTGTCTTCTGTTCCAACACACACTGGGGAAATTCAGTGGACAAGCTTTGGACTTACACTTAATCCATTCATGATTACTGGGAAATGGTGGGGAAAAACACCTCAAAGGCTTTGTAAAAGGGAACAACTCTATTCTATCAGAAAATAATCGACACAAACCCCAGGTACCTCAGTCCCACTTAAGAACCAGAGCTGTAAACTGCCTTATGTGCTATAAACTCCTTCACAGTCAGGCACTGAGTCTTTCAAATCACAGTGCTGTGCCAGTGTGCAGAGTGCTTAACAACACTGTGTAAGCTGCAGGTACCCAAAATCACATCTTTCTATATGGTTTTGGATCTTCACACAAGTTGCACCTGCAAGGAGCACTGGGCAGTGGAAGAAGGTCTTCATATAGGGGTATTCATACTTTCTGTTACCCACAGGATCTAAAAACATTTATTTTTTAAGGCATAATAATGTTCTCATAACAAAGTTCTCAGCTCATTTCAACATCTCCTTTCCTTTCTGTCCTCTAGGTTACCCCTTGCTTCAATTTCTTCTGATATGCAAAAGGTAAACAAAAGTAATGCAAAACTGTGAGAGAGGCTCATACAGAGATAATCTCCAGAAATTAAAAAAAATCAAATCAAATTTGGTCTCCCCCTGCTGTGTGAAATAGGGTATTTTGAATTGTGTCTATTCCCAAAGGCAATGTTACTAAAGTTGGTCTTCCACTTGATTACAGAAGCAAATGAAGAAACACAACTTGTAAATACCAAATAAAATGAGACCACTTGATACAAGTATTTTACATTTATTGGAAGAGTACAGTAAAATGGGGACTGCAGACTCATTAGTGGTAAGTGATCCAAAGGAGAAGAAAAAGGACTATTCAAAAAAGGTCTGCAGTTTACAAGAGTACTGAAAATCTCTTACATAACAGCCTAGGAAAAGAAACAGTTAGCTTGAATTGTAAAGTGTAACTTGAAGTATATAAAAAATTGGCAAATAAATAAAGTTAAAATGCAGATCTATTTAAAATTATAAAGGACTGAAAACTGGCAACTGTATAACATAGTTATAATTTTCAGACTTGATTAAAAGCCAGATAAACTCACAAAAGTTGTTTGGGTCTTTTTTAAATTTTATTTTATTTTACATGTACTTTAGGGAAGAAGGACCAATTTCCAGTGTTATGTATTATCGATCTGTTTCACAAATATATCACTTTTAAACAACAAAGAGCATAAAAGGTGCTTTACCTGGTATTGCTGGTGTGTATTTTGGCACAAAATTGAGAACTGGATACTTAAAGACATCTGCAAATGGCATCTGTGCCCACTCAAGGCTATTAGTGACAAAAGTCTGACTTGTGATGGCAGGCCAGTGACGTGAATTTCCCTCCTTCCCTAACACCCCTGTTCCATCTCCAGCTGCCAACAGTTACACAAAGGAAAAGCAACACATGCAATTTTAAAATCAGCAGTCCTGCAACCCCAGCCCAAATTTTATCACTGGAAGTCCTTTAACAGAATGTACAAGGCAGGTGCTTAATGCTGGCTTTCACTCCTCAGTATTTCTCTGTAGGAGTCTGCCTGCCTTTTGTGTCCTGTGTATGAACCTGTATCATGGATTTTTTTTCTTATTACATGTTTTCAGCATTTTAGTAAAAATTAAGTGGGAAGCTTGGTGGAAAAACAAATTAACTTGTGATTTACAAGTAATGGTACAATTAACACTGGAAACAGACGTAAAAAGACGTTTCAATTGATTGAGACATTTCAAAGATCAGTTCCCTGAACACAACAATAATGCTTATCTTCTGGAATTGCAGGTCTCAGCACTTCATAGTGGTGGGGGTGTATAATTATTTCTGTAAGTAAATGTTGTATGACATAGTGAATTCAAACTCCTGAAAGCAAAATTATGAAAATTAACACCGTCTGAAAAGGTCTTTTAAGAAGAAGGAAGTTCACAATAAGGCTTAGGTGGAATTAAGTAATTGCTGTTGATTTTGAAGATACTGTTCCAATCTGGCCTGACAGCAAAATGTCAAGGAACATATTTAGCTTTTTAATTCTCCCTGTGTGGAGCAGGATGTTCTGTACTGTAAACCAGACAGTAACCAATGTTGTTCCTCTGATGTAATTTGTGATGTGGACAATTTGTGACAGAGCTAGGGTCTGCAATTTCATTAAAAATGTGATTTGAACAATATGCTTCACACCTTGATTCATGGTTACTTCCATTTTTATACAAACACATTGCCCTAGGTTTTAAAGTATAACATTACCACAGTACTTCTGAATTAAACAAAAGCAGGAATGTATTTGGACTTTGCTGTCACCAGAATAACTTCATTTGATAAGTGAAAGGGTGCCATCTGTGGTACATGGAGCCTTCAGAATTAGGAAATATTTGAGAGATGCAACAGTACAGATTATTACAGCAGAGCTCAGAAGGAAGTGTAAGATTACTGCAATCCCCTTTACAGAGCAGAAAGATTCTTTGAGAATTGAGGCAACAGCTTACAGTCAATTGTTTACATATCAGTTACCCAAGAATTTTGCATTATTACTTCTATGTAACAACAATGGAATTCTTCATATGTTGAGAAAGACTGAGCTGATTGAAAAGAATACAGTGCATCTTTTTTTTTAGTAATGGGAAGTTCTGGCTCATACTTTCAACATCTGTAATGCAAAGGGAATCACTGATCTGATTTTTGTTTTAAAAAGTCTAATTTATTGATGAAGAGTTTCAATGGCTGGCTCACTTCCTGTATTCACAAAACTTATCAATAAACATTTGTGTTTCTAAAACTAGATGACAGAGCCAAATAGTAGCAATTCAAGATTTTTTTCCAAGTGTTCTCTGCTCAGTGTGAATCCTAGGTTACCATACTGGTTCAGAGGCTGTATCTATCTATAAACAATAAATCAATTAAGTTGCATTTACAAGGCATTCCACACTCTGAGACAGAGGAATAAAGAATCTAGTTCATGGCTCTTTTATGTTTTCAATTTTTGACCTCAGTCAACTAGATTTAAGGGTTTTATTTATCCATTTTTTCTAAGTATGCCTAACAGTTTTTTTGTTTGGACAAGGCATATGGATCTGAGATCTCTAAATGAACTACACTTCCATAGCTACAATCTCAAACACCTGCAAAACAACAATGTAGCTAGTGAACTAATTAGCTGTGTAGCTCACACCGCTGCCCCCAAATAAACCATCTAAAAATTCTAATTTAAGTCCTGCCTAGATGATGCCTGAGAAAATGGTGCTCTGAAATAGCCAATAATATACAACTGCCTGAAAATGAAACAAGTCTGAGTTAACACCCAAGCTCTATAGCTGGACATATATTCCAGCTGAAATTTTACATCAAAGAGAAGTGGACGTAGTAGTAACTTAGGGTTGTTGGTGGAGGTAGCATTCCTTGGGAGAGAACAGTAAATACATCTCTGAACCTTTCTGTTTTATAGAGTAGTGCTAAGGCTGAAAAACAGAAATTTCTTTTCCTCATGTGACAGAGAAGCAAAATCAAGGTGGATTCTAAGGTCAAAATTTTGAAAGTTTAAAGTCAGGGGCTTCCAGCCCTGTTCTATGTGGTACTTACTATAATGAACAATGACTCTGATAACTGGATGTGAAAATATGTAAAAATGCTGGAGCTACCAGGCAGATCTTGCTGGAATTTTCTATGAGAGAATCTTCCCTTCTTTGAAATTTCAGGTCTCAGCAAAGTAAAGTTGGGTACTAAACCACACTAATAGGCAATTCTGCAATGTGTATAGGAGTTGGAAATCACAATTCAGTACCACTTTGAGGAAAGAAATGGTAGTAATACTTGACTGTTCATAATGTGACATGTGGATTCTTCCACTGAAATTTGGAGCTTTCTACCTTTAAACTTTATTTGTTTCTAATGGGAAGCTACCCAGGGAATAGTTACTCTTAGAAAACCTTGATAGGCTCCTGAGGTTGATTCACTTTCTTAGTAAGTTGTTGCTCGTTGTTAAGCACTGCTTTTTTTGATGTGTTTTGTTTTTCAGTAAATCTGCAGAAGGGAACTGAAAAAAACCATTTTTAATAGAGCTGGTATTTCAAATTGACCAGATGTCTTAAAAACTAATGGTTGTCTGGAACTTCAGGAATACTGGACTTGCCCTGTACTTGCCATGCACCTTTTAATTACTAACTGAGGTCCTGTACTACTGTGAAGTGAAGGACGGCATGAAAACCATCCTAAGAAGAAAAAAAATGCATAACTTCATTGGTAGCAGGGCTGTTCTTCCCTGAGTTGTCCAGAAAGAAAGCTTCCAACAATATCTGAAGTAATTTTTGCTTTAGAAGAAGAAAAAATTAACTGTCAAACTCTTCCTTTAATAGCAAACTATTTTATGCTTAGCCGTAAAAATGTTACAAATCCAAGTGTACTGGCACAAACTAATGTTTCTAGTGCCTAAAAATAGGACAGCTGTTACAGAAAGAGGACTCTCAGCTTCTTTCTCTTTATTTAATCTTTATAATGAATTATTATTTGTGACAATCAATTATTCTCAGAACTGCTGAATACCATGTTTGATGACACTATTTACACACTAGCTTAGGTCTTCAAATATTGCACTCCCTCAAGTCTGTGAGTAGCACTGACATTTAGAGGATATGACAGCAAGAACACTGGAAACAGGGCTAGTATTTAATCACTGTTGTTAATATTTGTGCAGCAGCACATCTGAGAAAACTGGAGGGGAGACATTTGTAAATACTTCTGAGACTTGGTTACACTGTTACCTCAGAAAAATGTGGAGGATTTTTCTTCTTTTTTGTTTTCTTTATTACCTTTACATCAGGTGCAAAAAGGGTAACAAAATAGTTATAAAGAGATAACAAATAGGTAACTTCATATTCAATTTTAATGATGTGCTTGTAGGATTTAAGTAAGCATAACAGGTGGTCAAAAACATTAATGAAAAAATACTTGAGTATGAATACCCTAGTATTTCCTTAACCAGTTTTCTCTTTCCTGTCAGTGAGAATGGGCTTTACCAGCTGCAGTTCTCACTGATGGCCTTCTGGTGATGCACTGACCAATAACAATGTCCAAAAAAGTTTTTTTTTGGCAACTCTGAGGCAAAAGAGGCAACTCTGCAAAAGGAAATATTTTTGTTAAGAAGAAATGCAATATAACTGTAGTTGATAAACTAAAAGCTAGTTCATTGGTTTTCACAGAAACTAATGAAAATGCACATTTCAAAGATAATGCCTCCATGGGATGCTAACTCTACATCACCACTCTTTGCTGAAGAAAGGTTGTCTGGAACTTCAGGAATACTGGACTTGCCCTGTACTTGCCATGTACTTGCCCATGTACTTGCCATGTCTTGTTTCCAGACAAGATGGTTTTCACTATTTCACTTTTCATAAAATAAGGAAGCTTAGAAAACCACTGAGGACTGGACTTGGAAGCTAACAAGCGCTCATTTTCTACTAAAAACAAACTAAGGATGCACTTTTTGCCATCAAAGAAATTTTCTTAAAATAATGAATGCAATTCCTAGGAAAAACATGAAAATAAGAGATAACCTGTTGAATTCCCTCTCACATTACAAACTGAAGATAACAGTATTTAGAGTTTCCTACGTTTAACAATGTAAAATAATTCAGGATTCTCTCAGGGTCCCACTGGTTGTGACAATGCCAGTGTAACAATCTAATCTGAATTCCATGCTTGCAAAAGAGACTGAAGCTTAACTTCTTTTTAAGTTCTCTATGATAAACACAGTTCACAAGCCAAACGACCTGGCTAACCTGGTACGATTAACCTGACAAGATAAGTCATCAAAAGGCCACAGAGAAAAGATATTGCAGCTTTGCTTCTTTAGTGCCAGGTCTTTCTTTTAAATTGCATGGCATGGCAGGCTTGGTTGTGAATGCTCCTGTGAGAAGCCTGCAGTATCTATAGGTATGGATTCCACTTCCTAAATTGAACAGTTTTAACAATTACAAGTCAGACATGATGAACAAATTCTGCCACAAACTGTTGAATTAATGATATAAAAAGTTTAAATAATTGAAAAGACATGTACCTGTGTTGAAAATTATTCTATACTTATAAAGCCATTCTGGTATTCTCCCAAACTGTTACTAGTTTTCAACTGAACTGGTGCCTACTTCAATAATAGTAATAAATTTTCCTAATGCTGTAGTAATCCCCTGTTTTAAAAAGATTTCGAATTTAAACAGAAATGAGATATACATGTATGGAAGTTTACTATTCCAGAATAAAATGTTAGTACTGTTTTTATCCTTCTGTGAGAGTCAGGATGGTGACTGGTTAATTTATGACAAATACAACAGTATTTTATTTTATCTGAATAAAGCAGTATTTCTTGCTGTCAAGAGGGCACATGGCAAAGAAACAGCCCATCCCTCTAACAAAAGAATATTAACTCTCCAGAAAAGCTACGAATGCTGACACTGTTATCCTTCCTTGCAGTCTTCAGGAATGCATATGTAACAAAATGCAGTTGGATGGATTTTCCCAAATGACTGTGAAACATTTCTTAGATCTTAGTACACTTGCACTTGCATTAGCATACTAGCAAATTAAGGCACAGACTCTGTGTACTACTTAGAAGCATACAAGCTAACAAGAATGTTTCCTATTGCTCTTGAAAAATATCTCTGGGCTACTTGAAGTACAGAACTAAGTAAATAGATCCAGTACACTTACAATTAAGTTTTAATTTATGCCACCAAGTTTTCCAAGCACTACACTTTAATGGGTATGTGTATATAATTGCTTCCTTATCTCCAAGAAAAAAATTACTTAACAAAATGCAAGAAGCACTTACCATTCCTTACAGCTGGATACTGACAGTACCACCTCAAATGCACGTGATGTGATCCCACACAACCATTCACTGTTGTAGTTGGACACTAACTCCTATGTAACAGACAAATTCTTCTAGACTACACATATTTTGATCACACATAGCCCTAAACCACCACTCAGCACTACTGTAAATATACTTTAGAGAGCAAAAGATGATGTGGACAATAGAAAAGCCACCCTAAAAGAAATAAAAATGTAATGTAGCCACTGAATTCACTACATCTCAATCCCACTGTAACACTAAAATATAAGGCTAATTAACAATCCAGATGCTGTGTTACTTACAATCCCTGTTTCTTACTTGCATTAGCAGCAACTAGTATCCCTTGATCTGGATATTTTAGTAAATTCCTAGAAGTATTTAAAGCACCTTAATGCTGGAACTCAGACAGGGATACAGTAACTTGTTCCTATTTCTATTCAGAGCCCTAGAAAATTCCAGCTGCAAAGAGGACCCAGAGTCAAAGTAACAAATGGTGCACTTCCTCCCTCCCCTATCTAGTAAGGTTTTTATTCTTTCTGGCTTTTTTAATTTTTAATATATATTTATATGTATATATATACAAACACAAGGTTTATATTCTTGGTGCAGTTAAACCTTGTTTATCCCCAGTCTTTTGATATTTGATTGCAATAATGTAAGAAAAAGAGAAGGTTAGTATTTCTACTCTGCTGCTCCCTGTCAGAGGCTTTAAACATACTTCTTTCCTTTTGTTTGTTTGAACAACTTCCTAATGCCATACAGAAGTAGTATTTTCCTTTGGACACTATGCATAAAATGTTATTTTGTTCAGAATAAACTTTTGCATGCTCCAGTTGCATTCTGAGAATTTCTACCAATTTAAGGGAAAAAATCAGGGTTGAAAGCATATCTAGCAATATATTCTTTAGTGCCTCTAAGATCAATGATATTTGTCATCTGCTGCTATCATTAGTAAACCTCTTTTTCTTGGCCTAGTACTTTCACATATTTTTTGGAAGGCAGATAGTTGGCAGTATTTCTTAGCATGTGCTAAGAAATATACTTTATATTAGTATTTTTTTTTCTAAAATAAACATAGGTCACCATAAAAGAAACATGCTACTGAATTCTGATGGCATTGAAGAAGAAAAAAGGCATTCTTTAATGCCTTTTCACATAAAATGTGAAATGCCTAATCACATAAAAAGTCAGAAGTATTTCTACTGTATGGTAATAAATGTACAAGTAATTCAACGTCAAAAAAAATTCTGGATTTTTCAATTCAGTAAGCATGTTTGCATCTAGAATCTAACTGAGCTTCATGCTTACAACCAAATATCACCTAAATATATCAGATGTAGAAAGAATTTTAAAAAAATGTTGTAGTTTAAATACTTGTCAAAACTGTCTTCAGTATTAAGGCCAACATGTATGATAATCCCCACACTAATATGCTGACATACAGGACAGCGATAGCAGAGTGAGAGCACAGCTTAAAGTAGAATACCTCTGAAAAATGTCACTAGCAGTTATTTGCTGTAAAACAGATAGAAGCCACAGTCCCTTAAATTTATAGTATGTGCTTTCCTATGTACATGTAACCTAAATTACAGTACTACTGTGACTGTATATATAGCATTTTGTGGTACATATCTTTAATGCAGGTGTAAACACCATTCAAGATGGTACACCAGTTAATTTCAAAGTAATCCTAGAAGAGTATTGCAAATAATGCTATATAAATGCATAGTGTTTGAGGGAAACAATTACTTCACTGGAAAATAAAGTCCCAGACACTGAGTTTGGCACTTCTTTATCACTATGTCACTTTCTTTTTGATTGAAGACAGCTCTTTCTGAATCTCACTGAATTTTGGCCGGTTTTCTGGCTTGTAGTCCCAGCATCTCTGCATTATTTTATATATTTCTTCTGGACATTTTTGTGGTGCAGACATTCGGTACCCTGGTAGACACAAAAGGTGGAGAAAACTTTTAGTACTGAAAACTGATGCATATTGACAAATCTAAAAAGAAAAGAGCAAAGTTCAAGACCATTTCATTTATAAAGACCTTCAAGGCAATATGAGGAACATTTTAAATACATATCCTCTACATGAAAGATAACTATGAAACTAATTAAAGCTTGGGTACCAGTGACATTTAAGTTGGGCATGCTGAACTGTCTGTTTGCTGCTCATCCCTAATACCAGCAACTCGCAGAGATTTCTTTCCTGTATCTTAGGAAGTAGCTACCTTCTGGTTTTCAGTTGTATTTCCTCACTTCCCTGCAGTGAGGAAACTGATTATAAAAATGAAGATGTGAGTAAACTTATTTGCTCTTTTTGAATATGTATCCACTTTTATTCCCATATTTCTTCCCTTTTTTGTCTCCTTAAGGAAGTTCTTCCCCATTTGCACTTTAGTAATTAATTTTTCCTCCGTGTATTCTTAACTTTTCTATCTTTCCATCTTATCTCAAATCTCTTTCTCTTCTGGTTTGCTTTGATAGGCAGTGGCTTCCACACCTCTCTGCTGCCATCAGCCGGAGTTCTCTGACTTGACAATGCGCAGGAGAATGGACAATCAGTTAAGTAAATTAGCAGCTAATCATTCAAAAGTGACAGGTAAGTGGCTATTCATCCTGTGCCGCACCTTGGCTGAGGCTGTGGATGCGGGGCAGGGGCGCCCGGGCGATGGTGGCACAGCAGCAGGGGGCCCCTCGCCGGTGGCGCCTGGCCGTGAGGGGGCTGCTGCACCACAGGGCCGCGGCGCTGTCCGGGGGACCGCGACAGGCTCGAGAAAGGGGCTGACAGGAACCTCAGGCCGTTCAGCGTGGGAAGAACCGAGTCCTGCAGCTGGGAACAGCCCCAGGCACCAGCACGGGCGGGGAATGCCCCGCTGGGAAGCGGTTTGTCAGGAAAGGCCCTGGGGCTCCTGCTGGACACCAGCATGAGCTCTCCCAGCAAAGAATGCTAAAGGCACACTGGGCTGCACTAGAAGGAGCACTGCAGCAGGTTGAGGCAGATCATCTGCCCCCTTTTTTTAGTACCGGCTGAGGCCACATCTGGAGTGCTTCGTCTAGTGCTGGGCTCGCCAGTACAAGACAGACACAGGCAAATGACAGGCAGTGCACAGTCATGTGCAGTGGACTCTACAGCTAAATGCAACTCTGTGACTCCAGACTCACTGCACAGGTCTCTGTCTCTCCTCTTCTAAAGAATAGTGCCATCATAAAACAGGTAAATCTATGAAATATTTTTGCTATTTTTGTACTGCATGCATCTGCTCTAGGTACTAGATGAATGCATGTAAGTTCAAACAAATATGGCTTAGGCTCTAGGACTTGATTTGGCCTTTAAGGAGAAACTTTATTATCACCTACGGTGCTTTTAAAACTATAACAAACTGACAATGTGTAAATCAGCAAACCAGAGTTTTTTTGCTTGTCATTTGTTTTGTTTTAAATAATTTGGAAGTTTTACTAGCTTAGAACATATTTATAAATTATAAAGTAGTACTACGTAGGGAAGGAACACTTCTGAAATGCGATGAAAATAAATCAAACTCCTGAACTCCTACTCACAGTTATTTGCTATTTTAACGTTTCGATTATTTTATAAAAGAGAAATTCAGCTTGCAATGCAACTAGCTTACCATTCTCCACCATAATTGCTAAATCTTTCTGTGAAATGATTTAATAAAGAAGATGGAATGATAGAGATTTTTTCTGGCAGTTTAGAATATTTATACCTGCATTAGCATAATCTTAAATAATTCATTCTGTTCAGGCTTCTGCATAGCAGTAAATCCCTCCTTTCCATCTCACCTGTTCGTTCTGCAACAATGAAAGTCAGCATGCTGTAAATCTTCCAAACTTTAAGTTACTGGTCAGTGTATTCCTTTTTTTTCAGAAGGCCTATATATACCACCCTACTCCTCCCGAAGAGCTAGATTCAGTAATTTAGGAAACCTCATCTTGTTTTTGCTGAAGTTGCTACAAAACTTGTATGTTATTTCTTGGCTATTTTACATGGAATCCTTACAATTTATCCAGCATTTCTTCCACTCCTTAGAAATTACCTTTCTCAACTTGCTCTCGTGCTTGTTGGTTGGTCATTCCAGGGTATGGGCATACTCCTAAACTGAATGTCTCCCACAAAAGGATTCCAAAGCTCCATACATCACTCTCAGATGTGTATCTCCCTAAGAAAAGGAAAGCAAACCTTCAAATTAACATACAGAGAAATTGGTGTTTGATATAACTACGGCCCAAATTCCCTGTAAAGGTAAAAGTGTTACACTGGCAACCTTCAGGCAAAACAAAGCTGTAGCTACTAGTAAAACATTCTACAGATTTCACAGTCTCCAATATTTCAAAGAATGAACAAATTATATTAAAGCAAATACTCTGGAGTAACATAAGCTAACCTTAAGTTCTAGTTATACACAGACCACTCCAGTCTGTCAGGCAAGTTAAGAATTTCTTTCCTTCTTAATGCACAAAAATATTTTTCTTTTAATATAAAAGGACCAAAAAAAAAGTCAGGGTTTTCCTACTAATTTACAACTGCTTTCAATTCCAAATATTCTTTTAAATTTACCTTGTCCAGTTCTCCATTTTATCATGGCAGTGTTTATTCTGAGAGGAGCTACCACCAACACTGTTTCTAAGTGTGAAGAAGGCCTGGTTCTCATGCTTTGAGAAACTGATCTCTGAAAATCAAAGTAAGGCTGGATCCTGCAAAACTGACACACCCAATCAGTTTAAGAAAAAAAAAAAATCAGGCCTGCTAGTTCAATTACCTCCAACTATGCTTCAGAGATAGCAAAATAGATAATTGATAGACAACTAAATTCCAAGCCCCTCTGTGGAATTATAGCTTTCTATTACAGGGAGACGTTTTTGAGCAGATATTTTTATTGTCCCTGATGGATGCACATTAGAAAATTAAGACTCCTAGTCTTTTGCAGCAGAATCGGTGAAAATGTTATCTTAAAAATCCATTTTCAACTTCACTTTCAACATTTTTCATGACTGTTCTTCTTTGTTGCATACTATTACTTTGTATTTACATGTCTTTATTCTTAAAAACAACACTTGTGAATGTATTGTTTGTTTATCTCTAACCATCAAACAAGCCAAACTAAGCCACTTCTGACTAGGAAAAAAAGGAAACTACATGTAAATTATAGTGACAGTTGATGACAGTGACAACTGTTCTGACGTAAAAAATCTCAGTTTACTCTTAGACTAAATATCACTTACAGCTGTGCTGTGTTAGCTTGTGTGCCTCATAGTTGGCAATTATGGATATTCACTATGCTTTTTGGAGTAAGATTAGTTTTCTTGTCTGTGTATCAATTTCCCACAGTGGGGCATCCAGTAATTTAACACTTTTCACTGAAAGCATTCAGCAAATACAAGACAGATAATTAGCTGGGTTTTTTTTTTACAGAAAGTACAAGTTCTGTACAGTTAATTATATTTCATGCTATTATATTATCTGAGGGGAAAAAAAAGATCCATTTAGAAAAAAAACCCAAGTCCTCCCTACGTTACTATTAACATCACAACTCAAAATATTGTAGGGAGAAAACATACATATTAAATGTATTTTAATTTTCAAAGATCAGGAAGCAAAATTATCCCATAATCATCCAAAATATGTGCTGGTTTTGGTGGGGTTAATTCTATTCACAGTGGCAGGTACAGGGCACTGTTCTGGATTTGTGCTGAACCCAGGGCTGATAATTCAGAGATAGTTTTGTTATTGCTTTGATTGCACAGAGGCAAGGCTTTCCCTGCTTTTCACACTGCCATGCTGGTGAGGAAGCTGGGGGTCCTTGAGAGGGGACACAGCCAGGACAGATGACCCCAAACAGTCCAAAGGGATATTCCAGACCATGTGACATCAGGCTCAGTGTATAAAGTGGGGGGAAGAAGGAGGAAAGAGGAGACATTTGGGGTGACAGTGTTTGCCTTTCTTCCCAATAATGGTGTAGAATGGGTCTGAACAGCACCCACAAAACCAAAGCTTCCATTTCTCAAAAACTCCAGTGGCATCTGAATTTTGCTTCTGACTTCTGACACAACTTGCCCTAGTCTGGTTTCTAGCCTTCACTACTTGTGTTTTTTCTTAAATTAACATACTTTAGTGACTGCTCTTAATTTGTCATATACAGTGACTTCAGCAAAGACCAAAAAAAGAACTTTTTTGTAGCTTCTTAACCACATTAGCGTTCATGTAATGGCCAAATGACCCTATTTCTCATTTTCCTCCAACCTCTGAATCTTAATATTTAGGACTGACCCAGCCAGTGGTTACCAACTAGTTTTGAAATATGCAGATTTAGTTTTATTTTATTTTGATTATCTTAAAAACCTCCAATCTTATCTACACAATTCAATGCAAGTCTTACAACCTTATTATTAGAATGGAAAACAATAAAACATAATCCAGTAAGTTTTACTAATATCTTTCAAGGGAGTGGAAAAAATTATCCTTCAAAAATACACAGAAATCTTTCATGACATTCTGAAAGTTGAATATTGACTGCTGAACATATTAACATATTTGAGAGAGCTTATTTCCCAAACATTACAGAAATGACTTATAGCTGCTGGAATATGTATGTGCTTTAGGAAACACAAAGTAATCCCACGTTAATCAACAACCCCCTCTTCTCCAGTACTGTGCAGAAAAATCAGACTCAGCAGTACAAAGTGAAGGTGTTATCACAAGAGCCCGTTTCCTCCTAAAGGTAGCCAACTGGACCACATATGATTATAAGGATATCATCAAAAACATCAAGGATATAAGGATAACATCAAAAACACTGTATGTATTTCCAAAATAACAAAAATAAAAACGCAAAACACCTTTTATAGTGGATCAAACACCCAAAAGAGCAAAGCATTCACCAGTGAATGTTGGCAACACTAACACCTCTTAGAATAATTGGTAATACAGGATCAATTATTAAACTGAATTTACTGTCAAGCTTTTAAAGAGAAGATCTGCATTACTGTGTTATGTCATTAACTGCTGCAAAAGTGCTAATGAGAGGAAGCATTCTTCTATCAATCATAATTCACAAACTTATGATTTCCAATGCATGATTTCCAAAAAAGGCTAAATTTAAGAGATGGCAGAAATATTATAGACACTTCAAATGAAGAATTAAAAAATATTTTACTCTGCAAAATATTTTACTCTGCAAAACATGGCACAATATATTAAATGTGCTGCTTCTCCACAGCCCACTTTACCTAGAAAAACTTATTTTTATAGTTTCATATAAGCAAAAAAAGCTAAGAGCAGCAGCTTCTGTTTCTGTTCTGGAACTATTACCCATGTAGTGTGGACCACTTCCCTCAGTGATAAATAATGAACTTTTACCCCCAGTACAACAACCTAGTGATACACAAAAATGCACATAAATGAAAACTGTTGTTAAAAAAAACCCCCAAAATAAAACAATGACTGTATTTTTCACCAATGCAATGAATTATCTAACACAGTGTTCTAGTACATTAACATTTTCTACTGTTTTCAATGAGGGGCCATAAATATGCAGAACTTGCCTTTCATTTTGCTAACGATCATAATTTAGATGACTGACGAGGCTGTCTACAAGAATGAGTCAGCAACAGAACCAAAGCACTCTGCTCTTGCTGTATAATAGCAATTCTGATGTTGCTGCCCGATTGTTTTTCAGTGGCAAAACTGCATTTTTTACATAAATCAGACTGAAATATTAAAATTATTTTAAACATCATTAATTTGAACAGGGTGAAAATAATTGTATATATATACACTCAAATATTGTGGCTCTGGTGCTCTTTACTGTACTTTGGATTTTTTTTTTTTTGCAAGGAAATCCAGTTATGTTCTTACCATAGTTCAGAGCTTCTGGAGCAGTCCACTTGATTGGAATCTGCTTTAGGCCTGATGATGAGTACACGCCATCGTCCTCTTGCCGGGACATCCCAAAATCACTTATTTTCAAGATGTTGCTTTCACCTACCAAGCAGTTCCTTGCAGCCAGGTCTCTAAATTAGAAAAAAAAAAATAAACACCCACATTTTTACAGGTCTGAAAGTATTTGGAAGCCCTTTAAACTGACTGAGCCCCCACTTCTGACATAAGCCAAGAAGGTCGTGCCTCTCAGTGGCTTATTTACAAAAGAGTAAGAAATACTTCATGAAGTTGTGGGGAAACAGAAGTGAGGGAAGGGGGAAAAACAAGTCAGAAATAATCCTATGAAAAAGTGAGGGGAAGAGATGCTGGAGATGCTCCAAGTGCCTAAGCACAGAATCTCCTGCAGTCCACAGAGAGGAGCCACAGCTGAGCAGGGGAGGAATGTGAGGCTGAAGGACAAGAGCTAACAAGAGTTATGGACAGTTCAGAACCTCCATTCCCCACTCACCCCTCAGGGGAGAAGTGAAGACTTTCAGAATGAAGGAATGCCTCAGAAGAAGAGAAGGGGAAAAAGTATTTCAGTTTTTGTCTTTTATTTCTCACCATCCAACTCTATTTTAATTTGCAATACATTAAATTCATGTTACCTAAGTTCAGTCTGTTTTGCTATGATGGTAATTGGTAGGTGATTTCCTTGCCTTTATCTTGATCTCCAAGTTTTTCTGTCTTATTTTACTTCCCCGTCCTGTTGAGGATGGGGAGTGAGAAAGCATCTGTGTGGGTGTCTGGCAGCTATGCAAAGTTAATCCACCACAACTGCCCTCAATTTATTCCTCCACAAAAATAAATCCCAGATTAATGAATTGGATCCTATGTAAAACTAAACAGAATTTGAAGAAGCATCCTGAAATGTGTTCATGAAGTGTTTCAGTGAGAAAACTGAGAAGCAGCTCCATCTTCCCTCTGCCTGTTAAGAGTTTCAATCAAAAGTTAAAAGCTGCTCAGCATAGAAGAGGTATTTTGGCTCAGTGATGGATGAGAAGCTCAGAAAGTCAACTCCCTCCCTTCACCTCAAATTTATTTATTTTTCTAGATCATAAGACATGTAGTAATACCTGACAAAAGACCTACTGTGACTTCTCTACTTCTCTAATAATATACTACAGACATACTATATGTATATTAAATTTCAGTGTTTCGCAGTTTATTAAAATACAACATAATAAAATAATTATTATTCCCATTGTAATGCAAAAAAAAGGGAGAGATATGTCATGCAAAATGATTAATTCCATACCATTACAAACATCATGGGCAATATTTTTAAACTAAATTTACTGTGGTTCTGCTTACCTCAATAGCTAATATGCTCACAAATGGCTTACATGAATATTCCAGAGAAACTACATTAACTTTGATGTTTTGAATTGGACGTGTAACATAGTTCTGAAGTGAATCCCCTGAGCACTTAATGCACATTCATTGGTTTTTGAAGGATGAATTTGGTGCATGCAAAATACATTGCTCTTGGTAGAAACTAACATAGAATTCTGCTCATGATGATGTGCATGAAATTTGTTCCTCTAGCTACAGAATTTTCTTTTTATGGAATTTGTTTCTACAGCTAATGCAGAAAGGTCTGAACCAGTGGCAAACAGCTTCCAACATTACCCATGGTAATGACAAAGGACTGAACTACATTTAACCCAAACTAAAAGTCTTGAGCCACATTTAAGAATGCTGAAGCTCATACACCCACTTTAATTAGCTCATCCATATTGATACTGGGCTATGTCATTCAGTACGTAGACAGAGCCTAGGTATGATCCTAAATATCATAACTTAAGAATTTTAACGTATTTGACTCATGCAGCTTTTCTGCCACTAAGAACATTAATAACTCTAGAGCTTGAGTGATATAAACAAAGTTATTCGTGTGGTTTGAGAAGATGGACCACTAAAAAACAAATCTGAACTAACAGGCACCAGGTGAAGATGTGCACAAGTGCATAAAACAGCTCAGTATACACTGTGTTACAAAGCTTGATGTTAGCATGTGGTATCGTTATATACTGCTATATTGGTTAAAGCAAGTGAGCTGCAAAACAAAATCAAATTGTCATTGTTTATATTGTTTATATATACTTTATAATAAGTGTGTAAAAAGTATCACCATGGAACTCCAAGAATTTATGACTTAGGTTCCAACCATACTTCAGTAATTAGTTTTTTTATCATGTTACTCAATATAGTCTAGATTTTGCAACTGATGCACATAAGGAATGAAAAAAGCAACGAGGTTGTACCTCAAAGAAAATTTACAGTTAATTGAAAGCACAGGCATCTCCCTACCTGAAGTATGACCTAGCATTTAAAAATATTGAGTTGGGTTAAGCAAAATCTATATACTGAACTGCCTTAGGTTTATTCCTCATGCATAAGTCTGATTATTTGGGAAAGCAGATCATAAATAATATGCACAGTATGGTGCTTTTAATCAAAGACTACACTCAGTTTGCATAATTTTTGTCAGTCTTGTATACAGAATATATGAGTTTTCTTTTCCATTCAGAATCAACTAGAGAAAAAGCTTTTCATCCCTACTGAAAATTGACTACAACTTCCATGAAAATCAATGGGTATTCGTGGAAGTTCATAAAGACTGTGACACTCTGTTCAGAATATATGTAAATTAACACTACAAAGAACAAATTACGTGTTTGCGTGTTTTGAGTCTCACAGTATTAATACCTTTTTCCACTTTTAGCTAAAACTCCCCCATTTTTTATGCTATAATACTGTGTATTACATTCATCATTTCTGTTAATAAAGTCTTGTGAGCACTTCATATATTTACTTCTGACATAAGCAAATTTGCCTCCTTCTATCGTCCTGTGTATGATGTGCTCTTTCTGTCACTTATTTAGAAAATCCTTTAGGTGTGATAATTTCATTCCTCAGGCATGTCACAAAGTTATATTGTCTTGTTAGTATTTCTAATGTCATTTTACATCTAACTCATATCCTCAGTGATTTGTTGCTTAATTTTACAGATAATTTTTTCTATGTATTTTGCATGCTTAAAAGCATTTTTTAAACGGTTACACTGGAAGCTGTGGGTACCTCAGCTTTTGGTGGCTTTTTTACTATTATTCTGAGGGTTTGGTTAAGATTTTTGAGTATTTTAAAATAAACTCTTCACTGTTCCTCATTATATCTGATAGCTTCCTTTAAAAGGATGTTATTTTTCAATCTAGACATAAGAGAAAAACACAGAAGATGCTTTCGGTCAACATGATTTATTACAGAATTTATAGCCAGAATCTGGAAAAAAATGGCATCAGCAACTGCAACTCCCATTGCTTTAAAACAATAAATTATGACATTAATTTTCTTATAGTTTTCATAATTATAATTAATTTCTATTTTCTACAGACAGGAGTTCTAGTATAATAATCATAAGGGGTTTATAAAGACCCTTTACTTCTTAACCTTCCATAAGAAATCCACAATGGAGTTTCACTCCATATGTTAAGATAAACAACATAAGTTAGGGAAATAAGAAAATATAAATATAGAGATCTGATGACCAAAATTAACTACAAGAAGTCAGCATTGAAGATTACATCAGTTTTAAGTATTTATAGTGAATGACTTTTTCTACATGGACATTAAAAAACCAAACCAAATCAAACAAGTAAACAACAAAGCCCCCAAAAAACAACAACAAAACCCCTGCACACCAGCCCCCCCAAACAAAAAACTCCACCAAAATCAGCTACAGTCTATTTGTCTTCTTTCCCCTGAAAACCTGTGTGTTTATTTGCTTTCTCTTCCTTCTCCCTAATGTTCTCTAAAGCCAACATCATGAAGAAATACAGAGATAATTGCATGAAATTAGGTGTCTCTGTTTGGGATTTTTTTTTCTTATAAAGCATTTGCTACTCAAAGCAGTAATTTCATATAATCAGTATTTATTTTTAACACAGAAAGCAAGAATATGTTCTTTATTTACATTGTGAAAGCTCTACAACTTAGTCACACATTACACTGAGCTGCTATAGAGTAAATTCCTTAGTAAAAGAGAGGCTGACTCTCACTATATAATATCAAGATTATATAAGTTGTTACTACTGCTAGAAACAAAGTTTTTTTCCCCCAGCTACTAACAAGTAAAAACTGGTATGTAATTTGGAAATTTCCTTTTAAGTACTGCTCTGCAATCCCTGTAAATACAAACAGGACATCTAGGGATTTCAAACATGGGTCCAATCTGCTGAAACTGTAAGAGAGAGGTAATAGGACTTTTGCTAAAAATTCAACAGCCAGTTCAAGGAGGAAGTAGAGGCAATTTCTCTGTGCTGGCAGCTGTTACCACCTGGATGCACATCTGTCAGTAAAGACATAAAACTACTAAAGCTTTCTCTAAGGACATTGTTGCACTCCCTACCCACTTCCCCTCCACACCCCATAGGATCTACACCATAAGTACTACCTAGCATTGCAATGGAATTCCATGAGTTAAAGCAAATCAAAACTAGAAAGCAAACTCCTCATTACTAAACCAGCAGCACAGACTGCCTCACTGAACTAATTAGCCATTTTATATTCCATCACTGGATCCTGCAGTTAAAATACTCAAGGTGATAAAGGCAAGTAATTAATTAGTGAACAGGATTGGTTTATCTCCTTTGCACATTAAATTAAATGAAAATAGTCTATTACCTAAACACAAAAAAGGGCTGGGAAGTGAAACTACAAGATAAATTGCTGGGTTTTTGTGAACAGTAAGATACTACCTCACCTTCATACACCTGATGTAATTTCCAATAATGTCTAAATCAAAACACAGTAGTGCCTAAATCTATTTCAGAACTTTATCTCTTGATATGTATATGCTACTTTTGCTGTATATGGACGCTACAACAAATAACATGTGCCTAGTAAATATTAAAGGGTTAGAAGAACATCCTTTCATGCATTCAGTGTTTTCTTCCCCCTTTTTAACTTTGATTTAAATTATTTATTTACATTATTTTAACTACTATGAAAATATTGGAGCCATATTAACTACAATGCTAGTAACTGCTCTCAGCTCCTCATATATAATGCAAGTCCATCTACATCTCCA